ATGACAAATAATCGTATGAGTTGGTAGTCACAAACAGTCAAAAAGCTATGTCACAAACGTCAGAAAATTAACTTTAGTTAGACTTCACGAGTGTGTTATCAAAATGACAACAGAAAGTTGCACTTATGATAAAATTCTTATGACATTTATGCTATTTGGAGGTTAGGTTTTATGTGTGAAACGCTCGTTCGAACAGCAAAGACATGGCGTTTTGAAAGTTTTTGAATACCAAGTAAACGATTATACCCGTAACACTACATTTATATTTTATCCGATAATTGGCTCCTAAAACCAGAACAACAATTTGTTTAATTATACTTTACGCATTCGACACGCTGTATAATTTTATATGCAAATATATTTTTATATAAAGTGGTTGCTTTATAAGAAAATAGTATGTCATGAATTGCTATTATTAAACTTTCCATCTGAAATACGCACAACAAACAACAAAAAAGTTGATTTTTGCAACAATTGTAATCGATTTCAAACGGTATAATAATTATATGACTTCGTTGTATAAACAATGCTGCAAGATCAGACTGAAATGTAAGTGATAGTATTGTTTAAAATATATTTCACCATAAAATAATTTAAAAAAAAAATGTTATTTAATTAGTTAATTCGATAACTTATTCTAAAAAAATATCAATTATTCCAAGTATCGTTTAACAATGTAATTACATACATTTTGTAGCATTTATTATTTATTTTTGATATTTCTGTATATTTGTTTATAACAATACATAAAATATTCTTATATTTTTATAAATTTTTCACGTTAAATACTTACTGTATGAACTGTATGAACCAATATTGTAAAACTAATTGTAATTGTAATTGTATTGAACTAACAATGTAAAACTGTGACTTTTTAAAATTTATATATTATTATATTATTGTATAGGTTAAAATGAAAATTAGACGTTAACTTTAAATTATACTTGCATTGAAATTAAATATTGGTGTAAGATAAATAAAATAATAAAATCATTTTTATACATATTTTAATAGCATATTTAACCAATATGCAACTGATAATAGAGAGCTAGAAATAACATGTTCTGTTTGCAGATCTATATATATATAAGTGTGCTTCACTTAAATAAAGAAAATAATTTATATATCAGTGAATATTAGATAGAGAATGGAACAATAAAAATTATTCAATGAATCTTTGAGTTTTATTTGAAGTATCGCCTTAGAAAAACTTATTCATACATATGATGTAATTTTCCTTTCTGATACGTCTCGACAGACAGGCAGAATTCCCAACAACATTGTTTATTCGAATACAGAACCTTAAAACAGCAAGCTAGTGTTTGATTGTTATTCAAATTAAGGAGTACGATCATTTAAATATATACAAGAAGTATTTACGTGGATATGCAAATAAATCCACAACGCCGACGTTCAAATTATATGTGGATATAATCCAGACGAATAAATATCATCCACGCATACATCCTTAAGTACATACATGCGTTTTAATTGTGAAATAAATCAATGTAGCATATGGTTATATAAATTTGAGGAAAATTTTTTAAATCCTAATCAAACAAAAGTCGGTAGTAGTTTCGAGCAGCCTGATGTCTAGCAGTAGTGATATCGGTTTTTGCTTGGAAATAGAGATAGCAATAGGTTTCGAAGTGAAAATAGCTTTTATCCGGCATTGCTGCAATATCACCGACCGTAGGGTTGTCTTCTCTAATAAACCATGGGACCAATTTTCCGATAAGATAAAAACTAACATAACGTTGTTATGGCAACCGTTATGTTGCTATAACGTTACTATAAAGGCTTGGGCTACTTTCGCCGTAACATAACGTTATGTTAGTTAATCAATCTTTACATAAATTGGTAGTAAAACTGTTAAAAAGCTATGCATTTACTGTGCAGCCAGGAATTTTATATATATAACCTAACTTACAAAACGCACAAACTTCAAGCACACAATGTTATGATTAGTGCATCTTTCTAATGTGCCCTTGATAACACGTACGAAAAATTAGATTTTATGTGCAAAACGCCTGATAGCACAGCAAATACATAGTATTTGACAGTTTTTACTACCAATTTATATGAAGGATCGTACCATAGCGTTGCCGTAACATTTCTATTTTATTGGAGAATTGGTTCCTATATCTCAGATAATAACGACAATTAATGGATGCTGGTAACACCGTTCTAACAATTAGTAATAAGCAATGCTCCCTAAAGATTATAGAACATGTAATAGTTTTGATTGCTGTAGTATTACAAACATAAAAAAATCTTAATCAATTCACGTGTAAATTATATCCAAAAATCAAAAAAGTGATAAGGCAGAATTAATATTATACAGATCAATTGCTGCCAGAGATTGAGAAATATCCAGATCTAGAAATTAAGTACACTCGTTAGCAGACAAAACATCTTTTGCTCGAACAATAAAATAATTTTATTAAATCAAAATAGATTTCAATATTTCTTTAATTTCTTTCGGCCATTTGCAGTTTGCAAAATCCGTCAAATAGCATTTGAAGAGCGATCGAGACCACTAATAATGACTATAAGACGTCAACTGAATCCTCGCATGTCTTTATCGGATGCGAATCACGATGCTGTAAGTATAGAAGGAACATCGGATAAAAATAACATTCGGAACATCGAAAAGATTCCTAGATTAGTTCTTCATAGTAAGTTCTAGTTATAGTTTTCAACCCCGGGATGGTATCAAGCCCGTGGTCGTTTAGCCCCATTGGTTATTGCAATAAACGCACGGGCCATAAATCAGGACGAGGGTCAGTGCAAGGAACACTCGGGGTAAAAACATATACCTACCACCAACGCTAGGGGTGGAAAAACTTCGACATAGATTTCGGGCAAACAACATCGATACCATCCAACTGTTCCACACATACATACATATTTCGATACATTTTACACTATTTATTACACTATTTAATACTATATACATAAAAAAAACATAAACTTCTCCTTCGGGAAGTTAATAATTTCGTTTTACAAACTCAGACGCCATCTTTGGGAATAAAATAATTAGATTATGTTAAGAGTCCTTTTAGTTGAATAATTGCATGAATACTAACTCAAATGACAAAATTCAAATAACATTGTTATCATAAGCGCAACATTTTATTATCACTTATAGCTGTGAAGTCAAACTAATGTTATATTTCGACGATTGCGCTATTTTGAGGATAGGATTTAATTAAAAGTTATATTGTGTAAAACGCAAAAACGTAGCTTTTCGGCAGTTTGTGACTACTAACTATACGGTTTTTCGAAAAAGAGTACTGTAACATAACATTATTATTTTATAC